ATATTTTTTTATTCATTTGTATTATATAAAATTTTATTATCTACAAAATGATATTCATATTGTATATATTTTATTGAGATATAATATTAAAAATATTTAAAATACCAACAACACTACTCATATAAAAAATAATAAAATATTATCATAACTTATTATTAATAAATTACTAGTCTATACTACCTAAAATACAGTGTCTCTGACAAAAAGGTTCATGTTTCGCGGGACGGAGGGGTGTATTAATACCGTACAATGCAACTAATCTCAATTAATAATTTAATTTTATACTTAAACCGTTCCATTAAAATTGATTCATTTTGATTGTGACACAATATTTAAAGTAATATGGTTTAATTAGTTAATAATATTGAATTAAAATATTAATTTTATTTTTTTTATGTGAATAATATTATTGTAATTTTAAAATAAAAAATTATATATATAAAATTAAAATAATTTAAAATATGTGTTTAAATATTTTAAATATTATATCTTAATAAAAATATATGTAATATAGATATAATTTTGAAGAGAATAAAATTTTAAATAATACAAAAAAAATAAAAAATATATTTATTTATTTATAATTAAGGTAAATTAATTTTTATAGGAAATGAGAAGTTTTACAACTAAATATTTATATATTTGTTTATTAAGAAGAGAGATAAAACTAAAGAAGTTTTGAGTGAATCTAACATAATATATTATATTATAGTTATAAAATTAATTAAATTAATTTATATTTGTTAACTATATTTAAATTTAATAAATTTAAACATAAAAAGACAATTGAAATGGAACAAAATAAGGTAAAATTTTGGTTATGAAAAAATTTGGTTTTGATCCCATATAAATTAATCAACAAAAAGAGTGTTTATCTTAATTTTATTTTTTTTTAACATAAATATATTAAAAAGAGTTTATATATCTAACTAAAATTTTATCTACACAAAAAATAAATAAATAAATAAGTGGGCTTACAAATTTACAATAATCTCTATCCATATTTGGATCAGATTTAATTATTTATCAAAACAAATTTTTTATTAATACGATTTTCAGTTAATATATATATATATGTATATATTATTCAATATCCAAACATCAAATATGATTTTTCATACATATACAAAAAAAAAAAAAAAATACATCAAAATAAAATACTAAACCTAGGGTTTGTTATGAAATCTTAGGGTTTCGATGATCACTAACTTAATACAATATCTTGAATGAAACAAGAACATCATATAAACTCATGGATAACATAAATTGATTACAATCCTATCGTGTATATATATATAATCCAAGTCTTGTTGAATAATTTTTTTTCTTAGAAAAAAAAAGAAAAAGAAACCCTAGAAGCCATGGAACCTCTCATAACCCTAGAAGCCATGGAACCTCTCGTAACCCTAGAAAGCAAAGAGCCTCTCTTAACAACAAAGAAAACCATTTATTACAATTTCTTCCCAACCAAGGAGGAAGAAAATTCGTTGTTAACGAGCGGATATGATATTTCCGGCGACATTCCTCGAAATAAGGTTGTCGAGATACGCGACATCTACGCACCTCCGGCGGCTGACGGTATGTGGACAATCAAGAAAACCTTAGACGAGCACGACATTAGTACGCGCAAAATTGTCTTGACTTGGACCGATGTGTCCGAACACATTCTTCGCTATTGGTCGATTGGGATGGCCTATCAACTGACCATAATTCGGACAGAAGTCGATGTACCCATACTCAACCTGGCGGACGGCGTCGACGACGGAAAGTGCAAAGGTTATCTAAAGTTGGAAGAAGATGACAAAGTTGTTCTTTTTTGCGATGATTTTATGAGTAAGGAGTTGAAGGTTGGTGATGAATTAGGGTTGTTTTGGAATACTATAAATTCTGTTCTTGTCGTTACAATTAAGTCTTTAGATTTGCAATAATTAGATAATTATTCAGGGTGTTTTTTTTTTTTTTTTTTTTGTGAACTTTTTAATGAAATTTTGGCTTGGTTTATTTTATTTTTTAGATTTTTATTGATTTGGGGATATGCATTATTAAGTTTTATGTTATATGTCGACAAACAAGCAGGGAAAGTGGATTTAGAAATTGCTGGTGGGGGGGGGGGGGTGGGGAGAGGGGGGGTATTTTCTATTTTTAAATGGAATATATTCAATTTTCTTTAAAGAAAGAGAATAAAGTTTGTTTGATTGTAGTGTAAAATTAGTTTGAAAAGTGTTTTTCTGAATTTTAGTTTAAATATCGATATTTTGTGAAAAAAAATAAATTTTAATTTAAGTGTTAGATTTGAATTTTAATTTAGTTTAAATAGTATTTTGTTTTATTTTTTAATGAGAAGATGAAATAATTTTGATTATAGTTTGAAATTGATTGTTGAATTGAGTTTTCATTTAAATAATTAGTATAAAGTAATGTTTTGTAATATGAAATAATATTTTGTTGTATCTATGTATATTTACTGAAATTTTGGGCTTAGTTCACCTTTTGTGTTTTTAGATATATATATATATTTTTACGTTAGATATGAAAAATTATATCACTAATATATAAAATTAATATTTTGTATTGAATTATTTACTTTTGTGGGTGAATAATATATATTATATATACTTTTTTCATCTCTTAATAAACTATCCATTTTTCTATTTTGACCTGTCTTACTAGTCTTGTACCAAAGTATTCATTTTTTTTTTTTTAATATCAAACAATATTAATAAAGTTATTTTAGTAATTTCAACTTTATTTCTATTAATCCCAATATAATATTAATATTTCTTACAAAAAGGTTTTGCAAAAGAATATATAGATATGAGACGGAGGAAGTATTATTTGAATTTGAATAGTTATTTGATGTGATATAAGAGGTTGATGTGATGTTTTGAATGTAAAATAAATTTGTAGTATAATATAAAAAATAAAATTAATTGTTTGATGTAATATTTTTTTAGGGAAAAATAAATTTGAATAGTAAAAATCTATCGTAAAACTCACAAAAGAACACAATTATATTATGTAATTAAGGGTGGTTTGTGCTTTTGACTTCACTTCTAAAAAAGACATTTATTCTTATTTGTATTGACTTCTCCTCAAAAATTTTTAGACTCCAAAAGTGCTTTTTGAGAAGTATGCTTCTAGAAAAAGTAGAAACATCCTTATTATCTAAATTATAATTTTAACCCTAATAATAATAATAATAATAATAATTAATTAAATAAATAAGATGAAATAAACTAAAACGTTTCATTTATATAAAACTTAAATATAATTGTATTTTAATTATTAATTTATATTTTTTTATTTTAAATAAATTTAAAATATATTATTAAAAATATCAAAATTTAAAAATATAAATTTTAATTATATAGTAGATATTTAATATTTTTAAATATAATTTTTAAAGTTAAAATAATTTATAAAATAGTATTATTTAAATTTAATTATATTTTTAATTTTCATTTCTATAAAAAAAGAAAAAATACAAATCTAATTAATACATAAAATTTAATAAATATATTTTCTATTAGTTTAGATAATTTAAAATTTTTAAATATAATTTATAAAAATTTAAATAAATTATAAAATTTTAATAATTATTATGTCCTATTTGGTTATTTTAACGATTTAAAAGCCCTTTACTGAGTTTTTAATTATTCATACAAATAGAAAATCGAATTACTTATGTTTATTTTTTAAATCAATTCAAACTGGACTTCCCAATTAGATAGATGGTTCTTTTTTTTTTTTTTTTTTATCGTGAGAATCCATTGTTACTACGCTCAAAGTAAACTTTTGGTTGAACTTAGTAACTTATAAACTATGTTTCGATAAGACATGTCATACTATGAGCGACATTTTATTATCCTTGTTAATTTTCCAACAACTATCTTTGTAAAATTGGATTCGAAATTCTAAACTCGATGAATTCTCCATATTGAAGTCGAATTGCAAACCAATTCACCGAGTTAAAAATCTTCTTCCAAAAATATTACATCTTGCGACTCAATTTTTCACGCAAAATATCCAACAATTATTTCATCTGAAATATATTTTTAAATCAAAATATAATCCCAAAAAGAATTTAACAAGCAAACAAACCCTCTCCACATCTACCAATAAACTTCAAATAGATCAACTAGACATGCCATCAAAACTTCTATATATTGAACAAGCTTCAACAATGTTCCCCCAAACTTCTATCTAATTTAGATGATTTCCATTTTATCTAATCTAACCCATGTAAAAGAACAAAATTTTGGGTGTGATTCTTTTGATTTGGTTGAAAAAATAATTGATTTGAATTTGACATTAAAATAATATTTCATGCGATGTTTTGTGCAAAAATCGAATAAAGTAGAGTCAAAACAGTAAAGATCCGAAAATTGGATCAAAAGAAATAGACCCTTAATATTTATTTTTCATTCGAAACATAAAAAAAAAAAAATAAAACCTACTCCCTCAGTTCCATTGGAAGGGTGATATTTACTATTACATATAGATTTTTGAATATTAATATTATATTGAATTCTAATAAAAAAGACAAAAATACCCCTATTAGTATGATATAATATAAAAGTAATAATATTTGTGCAATATATTGTAAGTTGAAAAAGTATTTATTATGTTAAGTAGGTAATACAATTACTAAACTAGAAAATAGTAACCTTGTTTTGGGACAAACGAAAAAATAGAAAATAGAAAATAGAAAACAGTAACTTTGCAAGCGATGAAATTTAAAAGCTCAAAAGTAGACCTAAACTCAACCTAAGTACTATTTGGATTTTGCCAAATTCAATTCAATTCGAAAATCTAACAAAATTATTCGAAATTCAAAATTTCGGAATTCAGTTTTTTTTTTTCAAAAAGATGAGAAATTTGTTAATAAATAAATAAAGTCTAACAAATACAAGCAAGATTATATCTGGCATTTAAATACTTAAAAATAAATTCACTACCAAAATCCCAACTAAAAACCCATAAAACATACCATATATATGTACACATTATTATTATTATTATTATTATTTAATAATAAATAATAACAATTAAATATTCCAATTTCTCATAATTTGCTCAACCATATAAACACAGAAAAAAAAAAAAAAAATCCAAACCCACAGATCAACATATGAGAATTATTATCATCAAGTCCCTCGGAAAGCAATTAATTATATTATTAACCCAATCGGTTTACCGGCGTCGCCGATCAACACCCGCAGACCGCCGGCCGTTTCGTCGCCGCCCTACTCCCGAAGAAGAAGAACCCTACGCTGTGTCCGGCGACGGCGGCCACAAAAACGCCGCCGTTGAAGGACATGACGGCGAGCATCACCAGGTAACCGAATCCGGTCCTCGCGGCGTACGAGGCCGTCCGCAGAACCCTCGCCGCCCAACCGTCGGAAGATTTTCCAAGGACGCCGGCGGCGGAGGTCAGCCACTCGGCGGCGATGGCGAATGCGAAAACGACGAGGAGCGAGAGAAGGTACATCCAGAGGCGATCGTAGCCCGGCCAGCCATGGAAGAGGATCTCCGTGTTCTTCCCCCAGAAGAAGGTCATGTGCATCATCATGTGGTGGCGCCGCTGCATCGGCATCGTAACGTTCGACGGAGGCGCCGCGGCGGTGCCGTGGACATTGGCGTCGCTGATCATCTGTGGCGGCGGCGATAAGAATTAGCACTGCAATGGTTAAATGTTCGAGGTGAAAGGATACATAGGGAAAAGGAATTTTGCAGATTTAGGTTTTATTTGGGATTTAGTACTCCCTCCATCTTATCTATTATGGACCTTAACGATACGGAATTTAGGTAAAGTATTATCAATAAATAATAAACCTATTACTGTAAATACGGGAATTTAAATAAAATATGATAATTAAAAAATATATTAGTAAAAATAATTATTGAATTAAAATTAAGATAAATTTAAAATGACTAAAATGTATAATTATATTTAAAAAAATAATAGACAAATTATATAGAAACGAAAGAAAATAGAAAATAAGGACAAATTATGTAGAAGAGAGAGAATATTATTTATCATTTTTTAAAGATATATCCCTCCGTCCCATAAATTTTTTAATATTTTAGTTACTCATTTTTTTTATATTTTAATATATAATAATTATGAACACATATCAAAATATCTCAATTTAAATTATAAATATATTTTTGGGTTTGAATTTTCAATTGAAATTTAAATAGTAAAAATTTTGAATTTGAATAATTGTATGATGTGATATAAATAGATATTGATGTGATATTTTGAATGTAAAATTGATCTTTAGTATAATATAAAAAATTGAAAATTAGGTGTTTAATTTGATATTTTTGAGTGAAAAAAATGGAATTGACAGTGGATTTAAAATTCAATCCCAAACAAAACACACTCTCAATATATTTCATATGTCTAACTCAAGGGTACGTTTCTTTACTTCAATTTTTTCAAATTTTACTATTTGAATTATTCGTTTCTCAAAAAAATATATATATATAATTTTTTTTTTTCACAAAATATCCCATCAAATATTATTTTAATACTAAGCCCAAACTAAAATTTCTGAAACTCAACTAAAAGAAACACACCCAAAAAATTATAAACATTTTAATTTTGGTTTGCCTGCAAAATAACTATTTTGGAAAAGTATTATATTTTTTCACAAATAGTCTTCTTTTACAGCAAAAATAAAAATAAAATTATTTTTAGACTACTTTCCTTTAGGAATCATCCATTTTCTCTTATACTCTCTCCGATCAATTGAAACTTTTAAGATTTTGTAGTAAATTAAAAAATAATAGTATTTTATTATATATTAAGTATATTTATACTTAATAATATTTTGGTATTAATTATGATAAAAAAAAATTAAATAAGAAAAGAATATTTCGAAGTGAGATCATAATATTACTTTGTACAAAATAACAATTCAATCAAAAATATTATTTTTTATATTATCAATACTATTTTTCATACTTTATATAATAATATCAATACTTACTGCAAATCAAGACAAAATAACAAAAATATTTCTATTAATTTTTTATAGTACAAATATAATGATATTTGTAAAATAAATTATACAAATATATATTAAATACAATGACCCACAAAAAAAACAAATAGTGCTGATTTTATAAAGCTAGTACTAGATTTTTTATTATTATTATTTTTTTTCTGTTTTTAAATTCATTACCCAAAAATCCTATTTTAAGGATTCTATGCAACATATAATAAATAAAAAAAAAAAAGTAAAAATATTATTCAAATGGATAAAATATTTTATTATAAAATGTAGATAATTTTGACGGATATAAAAAATTATATTTAAAAATATTTAATATTTTAAATAGTATATGTATAACAATTATTTAATTAAAACAAACATTGAGTTTGTTCGTATTTTAATTTGAAATATTCTTTTGGTGTAAGGTACAAAAATTTCATTATTCATCCCGAAAAGTTTTGAATCAAAATATAATATTTTTTTCTTACAAATTATATCTATCAAAATACTATATAAACCATAACTCAGAACTACCATCAACTATTAAATCAAAACCAAACAAATCCTAAGGCCAGGCAAAATGCATGAAAACAAGTTAACAAGTGTCGAGAGCGTGAAACACCTAAAGTCGTTAAATTTTGAATTTGTGCGGTAGGAACAATGCCAAGAACCTACCGCTAATCGAGTGCAATAATTTGCAAACTATGCTCGACGAAAAAAGCATCACAACTATTCTTCTATAATATTTTGGGTGTGGATACCATGCCCAAAAATAAAATAAATTCAACTGTGTTTCGAAAAATATCCTATTTCATTTTATCGTGTACACATTTCAAAAAGATATAGAACATACCTCAACAATGCAAAACCTGTCCCATTAATATCCGAAAGGCGACCATCCGGCGACCACCGTGGATCCAACAAACAAGCATCGACACCTTAAACAGTAGCCAAAGAACTTCCAAACTTATATAAACTATATAGAGAAATGAAGTTCTTAATAAAGTTAAAAAAGAGTCGAATATTTATACACTTTGTGTTCATTGTACCTCCTCTATGAATCATAGAATTATTTGCCGATGCAGAATTTTCCGAATATATTGGACAAAACTTCTTCGGAAATGTCTTCTCCACTTATTTGTCCGAGAGCTAAAGCAGCTTCTCTCAAGTCGATTGTCCAAAAATCCAACGGGATCTCATCCTCTATTGACGACTGTAACCTGACAAAAGCCTCCCTCGCCCGAACAAGCTGCTCGCATTGCCTCTAATAAGCACAGCCGAAACTCACTATTAATGTAATACGAGGTTAAGAAATAGATACTAATTACTGTCAATGAGATTAAACTTTAAAATTGTTTCACCTATAAAGATTTATACTTTAGGATAAAAAGCAAATATGTTCGATGAAGGAATTAGAAATGGAGTAATGTGTAAGAATAACAACCTGATTAACAGTCCATTTGCGACCACCGTTGGGTATCTTGCTAAGCCCGACTAGCTCTGAAATAGCAGACTCTAAATCCGGGATCCCTTCACCCGTCACAGCACAGGTGAAAACATGCTTGTCGAAAGAGCCAGAAACAGCGTCAGCCAATCTGTGAGAGGAGGGGGCGGTTCGGACACAGTCTATTTTGTTGATGACAAGAATTATTGGAGAAGCCGATGAACATGCATCCTGGATTTTCGAAAGGGTTATTTACGACGCTGTAGCTTCTTTGGTCTTAATCCAGACAGTCAAATGGCATAATATAATAACAAAACTCATCCTCATGAATAAACCTTGCAATAAATCCATGTGGATTCGGAAAAAAAAATGTATTTTATTTTAAGCATTTAAGAAACTAGAAAGCAACTTCATAGAGATATTGCAAATAATGCATGAAGCAAACGTGAAGTGTTTTGAAACCTTATTGCTTTTAATTCGGGCAAGGAGTTGATCATCTTCCGACGTCCACCCTTCAGTAGCGCTTACAGTCATGATAATGACATCAGCACTTGTAGCAGCTGCTTCAGATCTTTGAACACCTGCCAATCATTTATTGATTTTTGAGGAAAATCGACACGTATTGGAGCACATTATTCAGGCGACAGAACAAACTTCATTAACAAACATTAGAAATAGAAATGGCAATCCATGGGGATGCCAAAATCAGAGTCAATATAATAACCCGAGTGAACCAAATCCCCCCTGTTGAATGATAAACATTTATGCTTCTTATTAAATAGATATATTACATTTCATTAATGAAATTTCCATGGTGTGAAGTGAAGTACTACTCATAGAAATTTCGAAAAATGAAATGCATTTTGTCTTATAAAATGAATACTTGATATGTTCAGTTCCTAAATTGTCTGAAGCTGAATCTGACACTAAGCTAGCCAACATCCATATCCGCAACCCCGTAGAGGATTATTTGAAGAAAAATCTAATTTAAGTGGCTTATGTCAGGTATAAAAACATTACCGATTTTCTCAACAGCATCATTGGTGTTCCTGATTCCAGCTGTGTCGAGGAGTGTGACTGGAATCCCGCCAACACTAATACTGGCTTCCACTATGTCACGTGTAGTACCAGCAATATCAGTCACGATTGCCCTCTCACTCTGCATGCAAGAATAAATTCATGATTATACAATCAGGCGCAGCTACCGTACATGCATATTCGAAAAATGTTGAGAATGCTAGAGTGTTTCAATTTCACATTCTAACTAGAATAGGAGAAAATGTAAACTCTATAAAAACACAGACTCCACTAAAATGGTTAAAATAACTAAACAATCATAAAAAGAGAGCCGAATCCTAAGCTTCATGTATATTGGCAAAATGAAACTTCAAAATGATGCATAGATGCGACAGCTTGTTGGGGTGACCAAGTAAAAAATGACATATTCTAGTGCCATACGCACACTAGGGGATGTGGTCGAAAAATTAAAAAAAAATGATACACTTCCTTAAAAAGTTAATCCTTAGCTAAGGCAGTAATTACACAACCACAGGCTCATCATATAACATTTTCAGTTTTGGATTCCTTGGTTTAGAAGGAAGATATTAAAGAATATTATGAGATCTGCTCTAAAATATGACAAAAACACAAAAGTAACATCTGGAGAAAAACACAGCAATGACACGCAGTTGCACACACACACACTGATAACCAAAAAAAAACTGTGAAACATACTTTGCTCCATGCATTAAGAAGGCTTGATTTCCCCACATTTGGCCGCCCAACAATAGCTACCTGCACAATTAATAGCAAGACCACATTTAGACATAAGGGAAAATTAATTAGAAAGTATGATAATAGGTTTTGGAACTATATATATATATATGTTCATCCTCATCAGAACAATCTTAGTACAGTAAGTTTATAGACTTTCCCAATGGTTTGCATCCACTTAAGTAAATAAAAGCAAAATAGTATCTTGAATATCCACTAGATACCTGTAGCCCAGACTGCAGAAGTTTATCATAATTAGAAGTTTCTAGAGCACTGTCCACTTCTTGCAACATCTTGTGTATCTTATCTATGACTAGGTTCACATCGAGGGGTGGCATCTCATCATCAAAATCCAAGCGAGCTTCAATCTCGGTAAGTAACTCGATGCACTGAGCTCTAAGTGATTTCAACATAGAAGAAAAACCTCCCTGGCATTGAGAAAAAACATAAAAGTTACATGATGCCTAGAAAAGAACACATGACCTCAGAAAAAAACAATTGATTCAATAAAGTATACTCGGGAAACTAATGAAAACTGTTTTATGAATTACCTGTATTCCTGCCAATGCAGCATCTGCAGCAGCCGTTGACTTGGCTGATATAAGTTTGGCCACATCTTCAGCTTGGGATAGATCCAGCCGGCCATTTAAAAATGCACGGAGAGTGAATTCACCTGAGAATTAAGGGAATAACTGCTGAGCTTCAATATATAGTTTTCCACATTTCAATAAATTACTTGTATTTTGATTTTATTTTTTGTCTTTAAGTTGAAATAGTTGTTGGCTATGATATTTTGAAATGAAAAATAGGCGTTGAATATTAGAGGAAAATAGTATATTGAATTGTGCTAAAAGAGTTAAACTCTTTGAGCTCCTTTTCTATTTTATTTTAACTATGCAATCTCAATCTTCCCCAAAACATCACACCACACCTATTTTCTATAACACAATATCATATTCAATATCTATCACCTCAAAAATATCAAAACCCAAAACACAAACACACAAGAAAAATTCCAAAAGATTCGAGCTCTGAAATATATCATATCGCGGTTATCTATGTCCTTTTTTTCATACTGATAAAGGACCATCCAAACAGTTGATTCATTATGAAACTATTAACATATTGAATTCAATAACCTGTTTAGCTTTCAATTGCAAATGCCTCAAATCACACAAGTTCTCAAAACACCAAACATACCTTCACCTCACATGTTTCTCCATTCTAATACCAATAAAAAAGTTCAAAAAACCTCAAAAATAATTATTTTATCATTGGCCACTATTTAAGGTCAATTGTCAAATTTATTCACACCCACATCCATCCCAGTGAAACTATATAATTTAAGCACCATTTGATTACTTTGTTACATTATCCCATCATTATATATTAGTTGCTAATCTCACAAATAAAATAAAATAAAATAACAGTTATTAAGGCTTACATAGTATATGTCTATAAACCTTTTGGGTATAATTTGACATCTGAATGTGTACAGACTTCCAAAAATCTATGTTTGTATTACTTGAGCAAACATAATAAGAAAGAAATAGCCAACCTGGCTCTGCAAGTCTTGCCCCTGCCTCAAGACAAGCCCTCAAGACACGGCGTAGACAGACTTCACTTCCATGACACTGAAGCTCAACCACATCTTCACGTGTGTAAGATTTTGGTCCCAGCATCGGAACCACCAAAACCTAGTAGAAGATAAGACATCGGCATTTTTATAGTATTGATATCTTTGTTCCAGGTGAAAGGATTGTCCAAAAACAAATGAAATTGCATTCATTGCCTCAAATTAACTTGTTATGGCCTTTCATAATTTGAACTACTTGTCAACCACAACTGAAAAATGAGCATGAAATACAAACCAAAACACTTCAAGTTAGATCATTTAAAGGATAATTGAAATACAAACCAAAACAATAATATAATTTCTTTTAACTCGACAATGCTTAACACAACACATCTCAAAAAATCAACATAATAACTGCCATCACCTCAAAAGTCTAAATACATCTTTGCGGACAAAATTGTTATTCCTAGTTCAGAAGGACCATTAAAAAATAAAATATAGATAATTTCAATCCATTTCATTGCATATTCTTTAAACATGACTAATTATAACTTACTATAAAATAATAGAATTTTAGACAAGATAATCCCATGAGATAAGATACATACATCCCATTCTATAAACTAAGCTTTCTCCAAAATGTTAAGTTGTAACAGCAAATGCAATTCACCAAAGAAAGATACCATGCAAAACAACTGTACCTCATCAATGACAGCACCATGAGAATCCAAAACAACACCATATTCAACTACATGGCTACTAGGGCACCATTCTGAACCTTTCATCCTCTTTCTAGAGACGGGACGAAAAACTCTCCCAGCAATAGAGACAGCTAACGGACCTGATAACCGCACAATCCCAACTGCACCTGGTGGCCCACCTAAAGAAGTCACAATGGCCGCAATTGTGCTCGATCCAAGCACAGGCTCTGCACAGGTCACCTCTGCATTCCCAAACCTCTCATCTTTCTTCAATACCAAAGTGTTCTCTACATTCCGGATTCAGAATCAAAAGACAAAATCTTCTCTATTTCTTGTTGGGTTTTGAGTCACCCATAATGCATGAAACAACAGAGTTTATTCAAAATCTTTAATATTTGTAATATTGATTGCAGAATCATCGTGTTTCTCTTGCTTTTCATTCCTAGAAATCAACCAAACTGATTCTGGCTGCAAAAATAGACAACATTCCGCTGTGCAACCAGATAAGTTTGATTATCGATACTTGAATTCCATTTGCTTCAGATACTTATTTAGGTTTACGTGCAAAACAGAGACTGCAACAAAGGGATAATATCTGTAAAGTCAGCATATGATCCACATTCGACTGCTCTTCTCCACTAAGGATAGAAATCTGTAGATTAATTTATACTCCGGAAAATTTTCACTTGTTGCAAGCTCCAATTAGTTCATTTATTTTCGCCAAAACAATTACCTCTCCAATAAACTGAAGAAACACTCATAACCAAAAAAAATATCGAAATTCAGACACCATACACTATCAGGAAAACACTTCAATCCGTTTTCCGGCAACTACAACGCTAAATAAGCTACGTAGAACTCACAGAAGAGATAAATAGAGCTAAGTATGGGCGCCTGCTGAGGCTTACCTTTAGCAGCTCCAGACACAGAGCGGGGACGATAATGATTTGGATTGTGAGAGGTAGAGAAGAGTAAAGATATAGCTTTAAGCTTGGGGAAGAATGAATTCTTGAGAAGCGGGGAAGCACGGCGGTGGAAGTGAGGAAGAAGATAACGGAATACCGGCGAGACGGCCATGGCGTCCGCTCGTTTGCGCCGCACTCGACTATGATTAAAATAGGCTTTTACGTAAATTGCAAAGTAATCCCACAACTTTCAAAACAATTTCAATTCACTACCACAAATTTGTAGAAAACTTTGAATTGACCTTTTAATTTAAAATAAAATTGTGCTACCCTCGTATCCAAGATTTGATTCTAAATAAAAATTTAAATTAAATAAGTTTAATAAAAAAAAAAAAAAAAAAACGTAAAATATTTTAAATAATATTTTTAAATAAATAAATAAATTATTAATTTTTATTTTATAATTTTTGAAAATAAATTGTTATTTTTTAAAAAAATTTATGTAATTTAGGTATTTATTTAGAATCATATAGGATTGGACAAAGAAGGTGCTTTGTGCACAATGTACAATAAGAAGGTTTCACTAAATAAATAAAATATAGATCTTTTTGTCCATTTTTACTAAAATAAAAAGAAGTATTTATCCATTTTTAAAAAAATTAAAATTATTAAAAAATTGTTGTAATAAAACACAATTCAATTATTGTATGTTATAAGTTATCATCAAACTCATATAGACTCCAACGACATACAATCGATCATATTCCGGAGCAAAAATGCGCTTTCTAGAAAAATGCATACACCCGCCGTAAATAAACAGTCGATCATTCTCGGTCACATTTTTTCCGACAACCTTAAACTCTTCAAACCACATCGACAAACTTCGGCGAACACATTTGAACGGCATCGGCAACGGTAAGATAGATCTTGTCCTCGCCTATCATATCAACAAATTTTGAAACGTGTAGTTTGTCCATCACAACCGGTCCCGGATTCGCCAAAACAAGCTGTCGAAAACAACCAAAGATAATCTACAACGATGTTCTTTCAAAAAATCATCCTCGTTTCTATAAACACGGCCGTATTTAAAATTACCTCGACAGATCTCTTCTCGAGACTTCTATAGAGCTCTTGTAATGCATGAATCCCGCTTGTGTCGATATCAGTCACGGCTGCACGCAACCGACGACGCGTCAAGAAAAAAACGCTCGAATATGCAAGAACGGAACGAGAATGAAAGATTTCTTACGCGACATTTCGACAATCAAAAACCGAGTCTTCGGAAGGCCTCCAGCTCTTAATTTCTCGTCCTCGTCGATGAGCCATCGCAATAGCCTTAAAACGCGCAAGACAAGAACATAAATTCGACGCGAAAAAATCACTAGAGTATGAAAAAAAAACGAAATTTATCATGAAAAAATCACTAGAGTATGAAAAAAATGAAATTTATCGCGAAAAAAATCATTAGAATATGAAAAAAAAAAAAAAACGAAATTTATAGAGAAATTTACCTCTCGCGGATATAATTTGAGTTCGAGAAGTAAATCGCTGAATCAATTCTTATTATAAGAACGCCGGAGATTTGGGTGGCTTCCGGATACTGTAGGATGTTGCGGTAAACGTTTGTTCTAGGAATTTTCCCGAGCAACGCTGTCCGCGGACGGGTCACTTGTAACAACAGTTTGGCGAAGGATATCGAAACCTAAGTTGTTTTTTCGACGTAAGTGTGAAAAATCGAATCACTCGATCGCTCGCTACAGTTCATTTTAAATTTGAAATTAAACTTTCGCTTACCGCAATCAATAGACCGACTTCAACGGAGGCAAAAACGACGCCAAAGAAGGCGCCCATGCACGCTACAAAGTCGAACTTGTCGATCTTCCATATGAGGATCGCGGCATCGTAGTCGATGAGGCTAACAACCGCGGATATGATTATGGACGAGAGGATCGCGTTCGGAGTGTACTTGAAAAGCGGCGTGAGGAATAGGAGCGTTAGGAGTACAACGGCGGACATCACAATGTTAGACACGGCCGTGTGGCATCCAGACATGTAGTTCACCGCAGAGCGCGAGAACGAACCTAAGACAAAATACAAACATAAATAAGTACAATACTATTCATAAGACCTAATCGAACCTTAAACCTTAAACCCTAAACCCTGAACCGTACCTGTAGCGATATAGCAAGAGGTCATCGATCCGGCAATGTTCATGGTTCCGAGGGCGACCATTTCCTTGTTCCCGTCTATTTGATAGTCTTTCATCGCGGCAAAAGTCCGGCCGATGGCAACGGCTTCCTAATACATAAAAACTTCAGTCTCAAATTTTACTATTTGAACTCTGATGTTTTTTTAAAAAAATATATATATATACATCTTTTTCTCACAAAACATCCTATCAAATATTATTTTAATACTGAACTCAAACCAAATCAAAAGAAACACACCCTAAGCTCTTATGATACAATATCATACAAACGACGGATATAGAGAAGTTACCGTTAGTCCAACCATGCCGGCGACCAAGCCGATCTTGAGGCCTTTCAACACATAGTCGCCAGTGAAGTATATTTGCTTCACCGAGGGACGATTGATACCTTTCTCGATATGTTTAACCTAAAGTAACAACAAACACGACATTCGTTAGTACAACAAGATACGCAAGTCTCGTAACAAAGAACCCGAGCCAAGTAAAAAGCCTCACGATTTGCACGCCGTGCCTATCGGCGCGGGTAATGTAGACGAAGAACGTAGCCAAAACAACCGATAAAAGAGGCGCTATAGCCGATACCCAAAAGAGCTTCTTCTTCTTCTTACCCTACAGAATCGTATTACACATGAACAAACAAGTACTAATACGACAGATTGAACATCGAAAAACGAAGTACTCACAACATGTTTGGCTACAAGAAGAAACACCAAAAACACCGATCCTATAAGGATCGTCGGCCAATTCCACTGCGAACGACGAACACACTATAACCATCTCGCCAGAAGATTACGATATACAAATTTCTTTAATAGATGATCGAAAATCTTACGCCGTGATGCGCGGATTTGACAACGGAGTTCATCACGGAGATTATATCCGATTCCTTGGTGAACTTGACAATCCCCAAGAAGCCCTTGAGTTGTTGGAGGGCAATGGTGATGGCGGCGCCGGCCATGAAACCGACAATCGCAGCGTGCGATAGGAAATCGATCAAGAATCCCAATCTACACACACATAAAAAAAATTATTACGAAAAAACAACACAATCGAACCAGAATCCTTTAAAACGACAAGATCACCTAAAAATTCCAAGAGTAGCTTGCGTTACACCCGCGAAAAAAGTAGCCGTAAACGCAAGCCTACGATACTCATAACCATTCTCGACGGGATCGATCTCATTTTGCAAAAGTGTCCCCAAAAGAAGCGAAACTACGGCCACCGGCCCGATCGCAATGTCCCTCGAGCTCCCCATCAAAGCGTAAACCAAAGGTGGCACAAAGCTCGAATCTAACAACAACCAAACAAACCAAACACAAATTACAACTCACCAAAAAAAACAAAAAAATGAATCGTCGATGGCCTGGTAGTGTGGGGGTAAACTCATGACCGTTAGTTCATGGGTTTAATCCATCAACGCCTCCAGGTCCATTTGTCACACATGATTCACCTAGTGTGACCTGCCTTATGTGCACTCAACGAATAGCGACTACAGGTTCCCACGTTATCAAAAAAAATTTTAAAAAATAAATAAATTTGAGCCGTCAAGAGCACACATTGCTCGAAAAAAAAAATCAAGAAATGCTATGGAAAGACACTCACATAAGCCATATTGAGGCGACAAATTTGCGAGCTTCGCGTAGCCGATGTCTTGAGGAATGCAAAGGCTAGCAATGGTGAGACCCGCGACGACATCTCCTTTAAACTTCGATAAATCGTAATTCCGGCCCCATTCTAGGATCGGGAAAACCGCCTGCAATCCTAAGATGATCTTACGAGCGCCGGGCTGATGTTTGAACGGACGGAGGGGATCGTCCGAAAAGAATGCTTCTTTGAATCCCGACGAGAACTCTTCCCACGGCTTTTGCTTCGGAGGCACGGCGACTTTGTACGGCGACGATGACGAGGAGCTTCCATCGTCCATTTTAGTTAGTTTTTGCTGCTAATGTCGACAATGGTGAGGACTTCAGACAAGAACACAATTTGGGAACTATGTGTGTGTGTAAATATATATATATATATGTGTATGTGTATGTGTATGTAGAGGTGAAGGAACACTTTTTGTGACCTTACAATGTGGGCATCAATGTCTACAGAAAGGTAGTAGGGAAAAAGCAGAGCTAAGGTATATATTTCAGACAACTATGGATGGAGGGAAGATTGGTTTAGTTCATATTCATATTCCTTGTTATCATCATATTGCCCATTGGAAGAATGTTGCAGGTCAAACTTTGCTTATTAAGATACTATTTGAAAGGTTAGCTTCAAAATTATTTTTTATATTCTCGACACAATTTAATGTCTCGTATAAAAAAAATATATTTTAAACTAAAATATTAAACAAATATTTATTATATTCAATGTTTTACTTTTTCCTACTTGGAATCTATATCAATTTTTGTTCAAAAGTTCACTTTCAACGAGCTTAGCGTCAAACACTTAGATAGTGTTGTTTTTGGATTTTTACTATTGGAATTTTTTTTTCCACAAAAATATCAAATCAAATAATTTATTATTATTTATTTGATATAAATAGAGGTTGATGTGATGTTTTAAATATAAAATAAATTTGTAATATAATAGTATAAAAATAAAAAAAAATAATTATTATTTTAATTTGATATTTTTTAAAGGACAAAAAAATCTGAATAGTAAAAGCCTAAAACCCACAAAAGATCACAATCTTATTTTCTAGTTGGATTTTCTCGACAAAGCTAGTATAATCTTAATCAAACCTTAAAGAATTAAAGAAAACTCTAGCCTTCAAAATCATCGTATAAAAAATTTAAATTTTCATTTAATATATTATTAAAAAAAAATGAATAAAAATTTCATTCAAGACATCATTTCCAATACAATTTCAATTCAAATATTTACTACCATTTGTCAGGTTTGAGTGTGTAAGTTTGAGTTATCTTTACCCGATTCCAAAATTATTACCTAAAACTGTAGTATTTTCACCATTTTCACAATTTTTCATATTTTGCTTTGCAACAAAAATAGCTAAAACTATAAACTTATCTATGTGTTTGTTTGGGGGATTGGATTGGATTTACACTGTTCATCCAAATTTTTCCCTCAAAAAATATCAAATCAAACACCTATTTTTCATTATTTATATTATACTAAAAATCAATTTTACATTCAAAATATCAAATCAACACCTATTTATATCACATCATACAACTATTCAAATCTCAACTAAAAATCCAAACCCCCGACAAATTCGCTCTAAGATTATATAATAACTTAATTGGAGCTTGAATATGGATGTTTATTTCAGCAATGATATCATTCATCAAATGTGCTTCCTAAAGTATGATTTTATTATTACAAAACACAAATATAGTCAAACAATCATTCTCAAATTAGAACACTTTGGAAATTAGTTCAAATATGGTTGGAAGTGAATCCAAGCAGCCCCACAAACTAATAATCAAACCTCCTAAACTAAAAAACGACAAAAAATAATAATAATAAAAATAAATAAAATCAAACAATACTAACATAATTAACTTGAAAGAAACAGCCAACATCAAGGGCAGTCAATATTACCAATTATTATTATTATTATTATTATTATTATTATTATTATTAAAAAAAAGCATAAAAGGGGTCAAAAAAATAAAAAAATAAAAAAAAGACTAAAAAATAAAATAAAATAAAAAGAGAATCGAGAAATTAGGTATAGAGCAATTACCCCGATGAATGTATTCTATTTCTAATCTTCATACGCAGATATGTCCAGGTTCAATGAATCTGACGAGACGACGATGATGCTCCCACTTCTTGATTTCGCAGGTGCCCTCCAATATAATATTTTTATTTTTATTATTTATAAATATCACTGTTTCTGGGCCATAATCACTGTTTAAAAATAAAATAAAAAAATAAAATAAAAAATCGATGAAACCCTAATTAATGGAATTGCGAAACAATTGCAGATATCTGTGGTTAATTTTGTTTTCTTCTTTCTGGGAAAATTAAGAAATTAGCAGAGAAAGATGTTAGGCAGTATAAAAAATGAATAAGTGTGATTTATATGATCCAATTTATTCTCGTACTCGGGGACTCCGAGGTCTGATGTTTTTTTATATATGACGCTGTACGTGGACGGGTTTTGTTCTTTCTGGCCGTATTGTATGTGGACTTTATTTTATATATGGATTTATTGTATTTCGAATGAATGTGTATTAAGGGGCTTGTGCAAATCCAAATTTAGTAATTTCGTTCTACGATCTATTTTCTAAATTTTATTATTTAAACTTTCTGTTTTAAAAAAATATATATATATTTTTTTATAAAATATTCTATCAAATATTATTTTTATACTAATTTTTTTTTTCAAACTCATCGAAATAAACACATAAGAAATTTATCGTATTCCGAATTTCTTTTTTTTATATTAGTTACTCTCTTTAAGATAATGATGATATATTTATTTTTTGTTTTCTAAAATAATTTTATTCAGATTTCATTGTTTTTTTTAATCAATAATAATTAATTTATTAGTACTTTTTTACTTATTTTACTACTTTATTATTAAATCTTTAATAAAACTTTTATATATTATATTTTAGTTTTTATCTATTTTAATTTTATATTAAAATATTATTATTATTTATTTTCCGTGTCCACATATTGTAATATAATTAAAAAAAAAAGTAATAATGATATACTTACACGGTTCCATATTATTTGTCCATTATTTTTATTTATGTCTATTCTACTTTATTTATTTTTATCTTTTTAGGAAAAATAATTATATACTTTAATAATATTGTAAATTTTATAATCAATAATTTTTTATTTTAATTAAATTGAATAATACATTAATCTTAATTTATAATTATTTATATTATTTAATAATTATTTATTAATAATTTTTTTTAATTATAAACTAATTATATTTTATTTAAATTTTCATTTTATAGTAAAATGAAAATAAAAATAAGACGGATGAATTAATATTTAAAGACTAAACTGAGGCCATTTAGTGAAAGGATCAAAATTATTATATTAAAAATAAAATGACTAAAACGATAATATCTGTTGCAATAATTTAAATATTATTGATATTTTATTATCTATACTGAAAAATTAAATTAGTTTATATATATATAATAATAATAATAGTAATAATAATAATAATAAATAAATAAATGTAAATTATTTTTTAATTTTATATCCTATATCCTAGAACATACATATGCCTTAAAATTTTATGGCTACATAAAATTATATTAATACACTTTACCCAATAATTTATTTTCTTTCTTACTCTTTTTCTAAAAACTATATTAATATAATTATTTATTTTGTTATAAATATTTCATTCAACATTATTAATTTTATTAAGTCTATTATGTAACAATATTAAATTTATTTTAAGTAGAATTTATTTTATTATTATAGTACAATAAAAATTAATGATAGAGACTTTTTTTTTCTATTTTTATTTTTATTTTTATAAAACTTTTTTTATTATATGAAAAATTAATCTTTGTTTTATTCGATAAATTCTTTTCGGTCATTAAGTTTTTTTTTTTTAACTATTATTGAAATAATACAAAATAAAAGTAATTAATATATATGATCGTTCACTCTTATTTATTTATTTTACTCCTTTATGACCGTATTATTAAATTAATAGTCAATTAACATAGTAAAAAAATAAAATATTTTACTATTTGTGTAAAAAATACTACTAATATATTTTGGAATGTTATTGTACTAATAATGGATATAAGCTCTGTACTTTCTGAAATTAATTTATACTCCCTCCGTCGTATTTATCATATCTACTTTTCTATTTTCATTTGTTTTACTTATTTTGTAATTTTTTTTGAAAAAATTATATATTTTAATTTATTTTTTTTAATTTTTTTATGTTAATTAGATTAATTAGTTATTTAATTTTAATTTATAATTATTTATATTATACCATAATTATTTTTAATAATATATTTTTAATTATTTACTAATTATAATCCTTCTAAATTTTCGTAATAATAGCGGCATAGCGCAGAACAATGAATATATATATATATATATGTAAAAGGTTTGGCAGTCAAAGAAAGGTATAGGCTTAGTTGGGACAGTGACAGAAGCCATTTTGCTTGGCTTTTATATATCATCATTACACGACACCTTCATTTGCCCTAAAAAACGAAAACAAAAGATAGGGTGTATTTATACAAATAATTTTTTTTTTTACATAATTCTCAATTAATATTATAAAAAATATAATATATTAATACATTTATATAATATATAATATATTTTTTATAAAAAAAAAGTAAAATTTTTAATATAAATTATTTTTATATATTATCCATACGATGACACGAAGAATGACGTATCAAACTAAAACGTTAAACAAATAAACGCATAGGTTCCGTTATATACAAGTTTTAAAGTTATTTAAAAAATAATAATATTTGACTTAATATTCTGTATAAGAAAAAAAAATTAATGCAAATTATTATAAAAAAAATTTACTATTTGATAAATAATGTAAAAAATTTTATAAGTATCTATATAAGCATAACTTAATTAATTAATTTCACTAAATATACTCCCCATTGATCAAACTTAAATAACAACAAAAATATAAAATTAATAGTAAAAAATGAATATAAATTGGTAATTAATTTGAGACTATACAGACTATAAATGAAAACTTACTATTTTGTTGAAATAAATTTAAATGAAAATTATGTTTATTTAGATGGTTGGATTTAAGATTATGTTTATGTTAATAGTGTATTAAACATCACATTAAACAATTGGATGAATAGTGTACTAAACATCATATTAAAAAAATTGGATTAATAGTATATTTAAAATTCAATCACAAACGAAAAAATTATGTTTATTTGAATAGTTATTAATAGTGTATTTAAAATTGTTGTGACACTTAATGTTGATATTACTTAATCTTGATTGACTTGACTTAATTGGTGT